AAAGGCAGAGTACGTGCCATCTAAAGTCTATATTTTTTGCAAGAGCAAGCCAATATAGGATTTATATCTAAATAAATAAATACAGATCTCACATGATTTAATGTCATCTTATGGAAAGTGTTTATGTAAGTCTTAGGAGCTCAGAGTCTATAAGTTAAATCTGTATTATCAGTGTTTCAGTAACCATGTGTGTTTACAAGGTTGATCTACAAAACGAGTGAAAGTGGTAAAGAAATATTTTACGGTGTGACATTCAACCCATCAAATTATTCTGGCAGGCTCCCAGTCTGAGTGTAGTCCTCTGCCTTTCACAGTTTATTTCCTATCTGCATGGCAAAAAAAGGACATTTCTCTTATCAGGAATGTGGTGGGATTTCACAAGGTCCTAATTTGGTAGTGTTTGCCAAGTCAGGAAGAACTAAGAAGTGGACCCTTACTTCTGCAACCTGCTCCTCAGCTTTGGAATGAAAGACATGTGTGCAGTGACTCACACCATCTTTAAACATCATGTTTAAACATCATGTTCCATGTCAATTTTCCATTTTTTTTGTAAGTTAGAATGGAAGCTGGAAATTTAGGTTAAGCTATTTCACCATTTTAAATCTAAACAAGAATGGGTGGAAGGAAAGATAGCTTGGTGAGAAACTTTGTTTAAACTGTAGTTGAAGTACTGAGGTTGGGAGTGGATGAAGAATTATTTTAAACAGTGATAAAAAGAAGTTTTCTTAGCAATGTTTGCATGAATGCTCTGAAATGTAAACTTCATGTGACCCCGTGTGTTTAAAACCCTCATACATCTGAATCTTCAACTGCAGAAAGTACTGATTGCTTTTGTAAGTAGAATTGATTAGGCCTTTGATTATGCCTGTCCTTGTAAGTGCCAGGTATGGCCACAACAGCCCTAGAGTGCAAGTACTATTTTGTGGAGCGTGCTAATGAATATATGGAGAACACAATTGTCCACTTGCGTCCTCAGGCCTAAATTTGTGAGTTCTATAATGCATTGTCTTCGGAAATGTTGTTGGTTCTACGGGAATACTTATATATTTTGTCTCTCTTCAGAGTTAAAGAAGCAGAGGAAGTCTGCAGGCAGAAAAAGGGGAAGTCACTATACAACATAAGACCAAAACATGATTCTGGAATTGTAAGTAAAAATTGTAGCAATGCTTCTGTTCCCATTACTTTTTCTACTGTTTGCTCTTTGCATTTTATAAGTATGTTATTCTTGATGTATGTTTTTGTTCTGGGTTGTTTTTTGGTTTGGGGTTTTGTTGTTGTTGTTTTAATGTTTAACATTTTGATTAAAGGAGTTAGATTAACAAACTTGACATCTGCCTGTGAATATTACTCCACAAAATAGATGTAGCACAAGTAAGATCAACATATTGTTGCCCCACCCTACCAATCTGTCTTCTTCCCAGTCTCGGTGTGGGAGGCACCAAAAGGCAAAAAGGCAATTCCAGTCCAAGTTCATTCAGTCTGTATTCTCTCTTCTACAGTTACAACATGTAAGGAAGAATTTTGACAGGTACACATTTTTCAAGCTGGATCACTGTATCAAATACTAGTGGCTTCTGTTCCATTGATAGGGATTTGTTTGGAATAGAAACCCTAGAAAAAGATAATACTGTGCTTTCACCATTCTGAAAACAAATAACTTCAGTGATACGAGAGGAGTAATTCTGGTCATTCAATGAAACCTTTCCCCTGTGATTGTCTAAGCACTGCTAGGATCATGGCTGATTTTACTGAAAAGTAATATTCCTCTAGTGAAAAATTAATCTTGCACCTCACATTTAAATGATACCTGTAGCAATTGGCCATCATTTATATTTATAAAATATTAGAAGATTTTTTCATGTGTCTGTGTCCCTGTCCACACCCCTCCTTCCCACCATGAGACATGACTTAATTCTTTTGTGCTTTGTAGTCATGGCTATATTACTGTGACAAATCTTGGAAATGAAGCATGTGGTAATTTGCTGCATTCTAACTAATATAATCTGACACAGGAAGAAATAATATTGCATTTATTATTTCTTATTCTGATTGTTTAGTGAAAGTTGGCTGTGGTTAGTGCCGCAAGAAATGTAAATGAAGTACTAGTTTGGTAAGGAATGATAAACTACATTTAATCAATTTGATTATAAAACAGATCAAGATGTTATTAAAAAAAAAAAGTTAACATTGTTTTGAATTTCTCCATCTAACTTATATCTTGCAGTATATAAAGACACTGATTTATTTTCTTTTAAGAAATAACTATTTGCTTAATTATTCCTGTATCATTATTTGCACTGAAACAAGGACTTTCAGTATTAGAAAAATTTGATGAGTGAAAAGGAAAGTAAACAAAAATATTTCACAAGAAGTGTATAGCTGTAGTCTACTTCAGTTCCTTCTTCAAAGGAAGTTTATTTGTGAAGCAGTTCTACAGTAACTATAATTGATCATTAGGATATATATTTCTATGCTTTACATAGCATAAGTGCGTGTAAGATGGTTTTATGTACACTCAATTCCTCTTTTTTTTTTAAATTTATTTTATTTTTCAGAAAGCAAAGATAAGTATGAAAATCTGAGAGAAGAAAAGCAAAAGCCATGGTTACCTGGTTACCAAAACTCAACATGCTTGTGGGTGGGGAGTGAGAGGGAAGGAAACTACATCATCCTGATCATTTGCTTTCTTGACTTTTTTAAATTTGCTTTTTGTTCTCTAGAGTTTTCCACCAATTGATGTGTTATTGTACATTCATTCACGAATGTAATCACTTAATGGAGTGCCCAGCAATAGACTAGGTATGGACTTGAAACACCTTCCCTGTACTCTGTATCTCCTTTGCCACTCAAAAATGATATTTTGTAAAGTGTATGGTATATTACAAATAGGCCAAGTCAGCATGCATAAAAAGCAGCATCTGCATCAGTTCTGAACATGCTGAAAATTGCATTAAGTTGAACTTCATAAGAATGCTACTTGGTACAGCAAAACATTTCCATTCCTACTGGCAACATCTAACACAAATACTTCATGGCACTGCACTTAGATTAGGGAAAGAAATGTTACTTCTAGTGAACTGTTTGTATCTGTTTCATGTTGGCATTTGTAGTTTGTATTTTGAATCGTTAAGTGCTGTTTATACAGTATAATCAATGCTTTCCCAACTTGTTTGGTTGCCCTCCATGACTAAATATTTGTGGAACAAGATGTTTACTGTAACTATCTTTAAAATCGATAAGGCAGTATACTTTTACTTCATCTTTTGCCAGACAGTGAATGCCAGGTGGTATGGGGGTCAGAAATCCAGCATTAAAAAAAAAAAAAAGAAAAAGGAAAAAAGAGGTGAAAAACAGAAAAATACAGAAAAGCACAGAAGTATGATAGAGAGTATGAGAGATTTGACTATTATAGTTTGTTAATACATAAAGCAGCTAATACTTTTACATGAGCTTTAGAAGATATAGTATAGTTTTAACTGCTGATCACTTAAGTCAGACAGGCTTTTGGCCACATGTCCATGACTTCCCTTCTGGAATTAGCTTTACAGTTAATTTAAAACTCCTTTAGCGAGCCATTAAAAGATGCACATGGAGACAACATTTATGGAAAACAGTAGCCAATTCTAGTGACTGAACACAGACTACCAACTAATTGACATCAATTTCACACTTAACAGAATTGCAGACACTTCCTCCAGGCTTTGTGTCCCTGACTAGGAGGTTAATGATTGAACTCTACGACTTAGGGCTTCCATTTTAGACCACGAGTTTAATTCCTATTTGCAATCCAGAATTCACGGTATCAATTTTGATCTGCTCAACTGATAACAACCCCTTCCTCCAGTCCTAATTTAAGAGCCCCAAACCGATCAGTCTGATTGATAAAGTTTTTCTTCCAAAGCGCATTTTTCCTAAAAGCAGACTCTGTGTGCAACTCAATTGGATGCACATGCTCACAGCTTTGGAGCCTGAAAGACACTGGGGTAAGGCAAATGAGCTCTAACCTGCTGGGTTGCGTTATTCCCTGTCTAATCTAGCACGTCAAGAGACATTCCTAGCTGTTCAGAGGCTAGTATATCCTACAGGGTGTCATAAAGGAAGTGCAAAATATGACCTCAGGAATCTGTTATTCTTTGCATATACCAAGCACTAGAAAAGATGGTTTTTTTCACTGTGTGAAAAGCAAGTCTCCTGTTGCTGACAAACCTACGTGAAATTCTGTACTACTAATAATTTCTGGCAGGGATATTAATTACCAAGAACGGAGTTCTAAAATTTTGTTTTGATGGGAGTAACATTACTATTTGGGGAAGAGAAAATAAGAGATTATTTGCTGTTACGACTAACTTATGGAAAAAGAAACTTTAAAAAATAAAGCTATTTTAATGGCACTGATTCAAATCCATGTTTGTATTTATGTAAACAATAGTCTATTTCCTCCTAACTTTGCTCCTAAGTGCAAGGATACAGTAGCATGTTTTCATTTGTAGCCTTCCTGTTCTCTTCAGTACCTACAGTATGTATATTACTATACTAAATTAAATAACAGATCGTCTAACAAAGATCACTATGTGCAATACTGTATTTAGTGTTTCTATTCCAATTTTTTTAGAATGTTAATTTATATGAAAATAAAAGGAATAATAATGAAATAAGTGCCTTCTCTCTTCACTCTCCAGCTATGCTATAGTTTGCTACAAACCATTTGCTCCCTAAGTACCACATTCCATTCAGGCTCCTGTGATCAAGGAAACACTTTTGCGAAGGGATCAGAGGAAATGGGGCTTCTCTTTCCTTGTCTTTTGAAAGGATAGTGACAGGTATTCCCAGTTACGTGGGAGTAAAAAAAAAGGTAATATATTTTCCCCAGGTGGTGGTAGCAAGAGCTTCAGTCCTTTACTCAATCAGACTATGCATCACTCACTTCTCTGGCTTGTGCATGCTGTCCAGTAGTGCATTTGGCTCAGGTTTGTAACCTGTTCTTACTAACACTGCTGAAGTAACAGTCTCAAGAAATTCTTATTAGGGCAAAAACATGCATTGAAAAGTTATATCCACATATTATAATGCCTTTTTATATATGTGCGTTATCCAGCAACCTGGTAGGATGGTCACATACATACATACATACACTTTTCACTGGATCTCCAGCACAGATGTTAGAAGATATTTGCAAACCTCAGTCTCTGAAGAACAGTGTCAAAGGCTGACTGTAGCTCATAGGACCATGTTATGATCCTAAAATGCGTGCTGCTACATAGATTTTTCTCTTTGATGTTACTCAGGCCCAATCTATTTGGTTGAACTTCTTTCTCTTTTATATAGCTTCTCTCCAGCCTATTCAAGCTTCCATGCAAAGTAGCCCACTATGTTCAGCACCACAGTTGACCCACGGAACATCCAATGCACACCACCAGCACAAGTTTCACTTCCACTCTTTTTTTTTTAGTGGCACACTCAACTTTTTAGAATTCTGGACTAATGTTCTTTTGTTTGCTTGTTTGAGTGTGTTCTAAAGAGGTCGGATACCCCATGTTTACTGCAATCCCCCCATTTACTGCAGCATTAACCCCACTACACTTTGAGTTGGCTGTAATCCAACGAGAGTTCTCACAGACAAAATTCTGAGCTTTTATTGATCACCAAGACCACATATTGGTCACTGTTACTTAAACAAATGCAGCAGCAAAAGAAGGACTTTCATACCTGAGCAGCAGGTGTGACTTGCTGACAATAACAATCTGGTTTTTTATGAGGAGCTAAGAGGATTCATGTTGTTTTGCTTGCAAATTAAAGCCTTTCAGAAGCATGATACTTTGTCACATCATGACACAGTAGTGGTTAGCTTTTTTTGTAGTACCTTTCATCATCCCGAAACACTTTCAAAACTTAGTTAAGTATTATCCAACGGTGGGAACGGGAATACAATTAGAGGCATCTTCCACAGACTGACTTTTTTCTTGCCCAGTTTTTCAGTGATCGGCTTAAGAAGTTGGAAGCAATTATTAATTTCATTGAGAGAAGATATAGCAAGTCTTTGCAGTTTTTGCAGACTCTAGGTTAAAAGGAAAGCTGAGTTTGTGACAAATCTGTTAGTTACTTGAGTTACACCAATTTTAAACTGCTATGGGAAGAGTAAGCAAAAACTGATGAAGTTGAGTTTTTCCGAAGATGGTGCGAACAGGTCAGCAAAGGGAGGAGAGAGAAAACTGTGACCCACACCATTCAGGTCTGCCACCCACTAATATGATTCTCATTACAGAATAGGTTTTCCAAGTCATTCTCTTGCTTATGACAGATCCATCTGTGCTGTACCTGTACCTGACACTCATCCAACCGACTTGTAAAAGCATCCAATGGTAAGTCCATTGCCTAAAAAAAGTAACGTAAAGTAACATATTTCTGAAGATAAAGGGTCCCTATTGAGTCAGCACTGTTTTCTCTGCTTCCCAACCACAGCTCAAATTTAAGCTCTTAAAAAGGTCATTTGCCACTCACCCTAAATCGGGGCCCTGCCAGCATGACAGTTCCATGGTGGTAGAGCTAAACATTCACTGTCCTCCTCCTTCTCCTGTCCTGTAGCAGCACTCCACTTAAAAAAACTCCACTGACCTAAGGCTTTTTTCATCTACTCAGAGAGATTTGCCTTGCTCTTGAGATTGCTTCCACAAGGGGGAGATTTTTGGATAACAACATATGTCTCTGGTATGATGGTTCAACAGTCAGGCAGCAAGAGTTTTAAAAAACTGGAGCTGGAGTCTAGGCTGTGCCTCAGACAGTAGAGGTTCAGGTGGATGCTGGGCAGTGAAGCGACCTGCAAAGCAGAAGACTGGCCAAGAGACAGCTGGAAATTAGATGAGGTTACTACTGAGCTCCCTTTAAGCCAACTGAGGCACAAGTTCTGAGCAGGGCACCCTGACCACACTTTGGTAGCTAACACAAAGCAAACCACTAATTTCTCAAAAGCAACAGCTATGAAAAAAAAAAAAAAGGCTCCAAACACATTGATTCACTGAACTGTGAGAGGATTTGGGCAAGAGATGGGCAAGGAAAGAGAGTAAAGGGCTTCTGCAGGTGTCAGAAGTGCCATAAAGGACATAGCCCTCCCTTGCTAGTTATAGTGCAGGTGCTCCTGCTTCTTTCAAGACCCATGACAGGCATCTCTTCTGGTCACATGGAGGCTCATTCATCCATGTGACTACTCCCTTTCATCACAAAAATTTTCCTTTGAGAAACTGCATTTTCTCTGGGTTGGAAATGAAAAAACCCCAAAACACTTCCCTATATTTGGAGTGACATACAGTGTACCCATTCAAGAGCCAACAGCAACCATTAAAGCTCACCTATATCTTAAGATATACCTTTTTTTTTTTTCCTTATGAGTAGTATGGTGCCTGTTATGTAAGGATCTATATATACTTTAAGCAAAACCACTTAGGTCAGGGTAACAGTTATATCTCTTACCACAAATGATGCTGGTGTTTCAGCCAGTGGTGGAGTTTTGCTTGTCTTGTCATTTAACCAAAAAAAACAGAATTTGTGCATGCAAAATCAACTCCAGAATCTAAGACTAGTGCATTTCATTTTTCCTTCTTGTCTTGCAGGTACTTTTGTTAGGGACAAGGGGAGAAGTAGTTAGGTTTTCCCAAGCTATCAGAGTGAGCCATCATTCACCTGTATTTGGGAGGTTGAAAAGGAAGATGGAGCATATACTGATTAGAGAGCAGTTGGACACAAGCTGTTGAAGCAAAACACCTGGATGCCATATAACCCTAGAGTAGCTTTATTATTTAATCTATAATTTAATAGTTGACCTATAAAATAATTACATTATACTTAAAGCATTTCTTCATTTTTTGTTTTCATTTATAAAACAAGAATTAAATACAGTTTTAACCATTACAAGCTCAAGTCAGTTTTTACATAAACACAGCTCCTAGAAGGAGCTTTAAGCTGCAGCATATTCATATTGCAAACTGGTGAAAAACCCAGGCGGGGCATAGCTTAAAGGTAAAGATTCTTGCATGTTTTTCTTAACTGAATGTACTAGGGTGCTTTTCTCTCTCTAGTCCAAAATGTGTGACTTTCAGTTTGTTCCTTTCAAGTGGAGACTGGGATCCCTGAAGTCTTAGTAGACCGTACTGCCACCTTCCCCCTCTGCACCTCACCCACACCAGCTCTCTCAAGCCTAGACGGAATGGTGCCCATCCAGGGGCTGGCAGGATGCCACAGCACAGCAGTTACAACCCCTAAAGCATTCCCTGTGTGAGGAGTCTCCCTGTGCACTTCTGACACTTTGAGAGATCACAGCAGAAAAGCAACGTCTGTTCATGTAACAGGGCTAATAGACTCGACCAATCTCATCCTGCCCATGCCAGTCCCTGTAAACCGCTTGGTGAGCTCTTGCAGAGATCAGCCCTGAAAGCCTCTTAGAGAGGCCTGTCACATAGTGGAGACCTGGGGCTCTGAAGCTCTGGCTGGCGACAGTGCTGAACATATTAACTCCTTGAAGCGGCTGCATGCAAAGAAGCTGGCGGGGAGGGGTTCCCACAGCAGGTTGGTTTCACTATATGCAGATGCTGAACTGTGAGACATGCATCAGGGAGGCAGTGTGTCCTTTTTAATTTGTAAGCTTCAGACAAATGAGAGCGCATGGGCTTTGGTTTGGGGGAAGGGGCCGGTTTGAGACAGGATTTTAATGCAGCTGGGACTAATACAGATGAGAACTGCAACAAATGGGATATACAGGACATAATAAACTCCATCAACTAAATAACAACATAGTATGATTTAAAATGAACTGCAAGCATTCACCAACACTGATTGTGCAGGTCTCAAAAACTTAGTGCACCACCAATAATGCAGCAATCACAACCTCCTCTATCCCTGCTCCCACAGCTGTGACCCATTCCAGTGGCACTGACTGATGGGTTTGTCCTTTAATGCTAACACATTATCATGGTTTCCAATCATGAGAGAGACACCACTCCCAAAACTCAATGACACTTACATAGCTTTTGTATTCAATTCAGCAATGACCAAATTTTGTCCTTTGTCCTTGTGTGACAGTGCTTTTATACCTTAAGGGAAACATCACTCCCTTAAGTGTTCTCAGCTCCTTTCTCACTATCCTCCCACCTTCCCCAGTCTGTGCAGGCATAAATATAATGTTGTAAATGGATGTTGTCCTTTTTGGAGTAAGAAACTCACACACATATCTAACATACAAAAACCTACAGAAAGCCTAGTAAAACCATGTTCATTTTAAGCCAGGCAGCTGACCTAGCAACCGAGTCTCTTAACATATTTTAATCTCTGGCATATTCTGCCACAAGGAAAATATACATGGCTAGGTCTATAATACTTTAAACAGCTGTTTACTATAGCTAGGTTACAAAATAAACACTGCTGCAGAGACCATGTGTTCAATATACTCTAACCACAACAGCATCAGAACCCACCCTCAGTCTGCTCTGTGGTCACTGTGGCTGACCCAGTGCCTCGCCCTCTTCTCCTTGCTTCTGATCTGCTGTTCAGACAACAAGCCCAGAACCATTTGTCATTGCACAATTGAAGTCGTCTTAAGAAGCTAAGTTTCATTGGAAAGTCTCGCTTTTCACACATTGCTCCTTGTTACTCTCCCTCACCTGTGTCCCCCAGTCCTGGGCAGAACCCCAGCACTTCCAGGTGAGAGAAAGAAGCTCCAGACCAAAGCACAGGGAAGGTGTTCTCAACATGTGGAGGGAACTGGAGTGTAGGGCAGAGGGCTTTACTCCACACAGTGGAAACATTTAATGCTGGATTCAGCCAACTGGTCACTTAGATCATCAATCCCAACTTCTGGAAGCCTGCTCCATGCCAGAAGATTCAACTGCCAGATGATATTAAAAATACAATGAAACTTTACGGTGAAGTGCCTAACACAGCCCATTAAAAAGCATTATTCCAGTAGGCAAGTGTCAAGGAGCCTTTCCTTGCTGGAGAGTTGCCTCCTGAAAGAAAACAAAACACAAAAAAAAAAAGGAAAAGAAGAAACAAACCAACAAAATGGACAGTCTGCTCAGTGGGAGAGACAGCATAAATCTGACAGAGGCAACAACAAGCAGCAGCTATATGCCTGCTCTCACAGTTTGCCTGAGTTCAGATTCACAGACATGCATCGGCACTGCTTGACCTTCTGAATTTTCTTGAGTCGGAATGGTGGGTCCAGCTCAGGGCACTCCAGCTGCACGGTCGAAGAGGTGACCTTGTGTGGCTTGCAGAAAGCACAGGACTGAAAAGACTCCTCCTCCTTTTTCACATGCCGTGGGATGTAGAAGGAGTTGCACTGCCCATAGCAGAAGCGGTTGATGATGGTGCGGCTGATGCAGCCCTCCTCACTGACAGTCTGCCGCAGGGGCTGCGTCTTGCACCAGTCGCTCTTGAGGTACTTCCTCTCGGTGACCACCAAGGCCTCCTGACTGGAGGCCAACACCTCCTTGTTCAGTTGATGCCTACGCTCCGAGTGGTTGCTGCTGCTGCCTTTGTACGGAGAGGGAATGGCACCTGCAGGGCGGTTTTTCCTGGTGTCTGTTACTCGAACCAGCGTTGCCATCAGAAAAACGGACAAGGCAAATTTCCAAATCATCCTGCAATGGCAGCAGAAGTCACTGTTAGAGAGACACATTTTCAAACAACAGAATTGTAATGGAGTTTAACTTTACCCATGCCTTTGGAAGAAGTGGAGATCTTATTGCATTTGTAATCCTATCACTTTTCCTAGGAGATTAGCACTATTCTAGGGTGATTACTTACCATGAAGAGGCCAGGCCCTTTGGAAAGTCACATTGCTCCCTCTCAACCCCCAGAAATTCTCCTACTTGCTTTTTCCCCACAGGGACACTGCTGCTTTGATGGCTGAAGTGGTGGTTTTACAGAAGCTTCAGCCAGAAAGGTTTCCTCCTTCTCTGTGAAATCCTGGTCCAAATAGCTAGGCAAACTCCTGGCTAGCAAAGGCTCAGGAGGCTCCTGACAATATGGTAATAGCTGTTTTGGGGATGGCAGAGGAGAGGGGAAGGGAATACCAGGTCACATAAAGTGAACTCCCATCTGCCTCTTCAGCCCCCGAGACCCAGCCCAACCTCGTTCCACACAGAAGTAGCACGGGGTGTCCAAAAGACTATTTTTATTATTTTAAATTGCTTCTGAAGTTTCTTGGGGCTTTTATGGCACTTACAGGCTTGTATTTGTTGTCTTTGTGGGAGGCCAAAAATTTGATGGATTTATTTTTGCAGTAAAAGGAAATGCTTAAACACAATTTCGAGGACTTCACAACTGCAACGCCTCTTGGGCAAATGGGTTAAGAAGGTCTGTAAACATGAGAGGATTCAATATTTATTTTAGATGTTAAGGAATAGGGTAGAGCATGATCTGGTTGCTAAGTTGAAATAGTCAGCCAGTTGGCAAAAATATTTTTTCCTGCGGTTTTCTATTAGGTATTCTTGTTCTGTGGAGCATCTCTTACTAGCTCTTGTCCAATTCATTTTAGTAATGTGTCTCAAAGCACTTCCAGAATATCACAGTAATGTACTAAATCTCCTCATGAAGTCAATGCTCACCAGTGAACTGCTACAACTGATTTGACAGTTCATTTCATATCATTCTCCCTGGGAAAGAAGAACAGAGGGTCTCTACAGTGCCAGAACTGGGTGCAGCACAGAAGCTTCCCATTTGGAGGTAAGTACATTTCCAAGTCTTTCTAAAAGTACTCTGCTCCCCTTTGTTCTTAATGGATAATTTTTTAATAGCATACAGATGAAACACTCATTCCTCTCTTCACAGTAAAGCTTCAAACCAAGAAATGATTTTATTTTTTTTTACTTTAAAAAGGTGCCTAGACAAAAAACTACCATCAGACTGGTAAGTATAATGTCTAACACTATAGACACTTCACATGTTGCATAGGTACTCCTGTCTGGAAAACGTACCATTTTCCAAACAAGGACACCAAGAGATAAAAAAAGTGTTTGCAGTAAAGGTGCAAAAGAAGACAACAACGGTGTTAACAAATGCTTCTCACCTAATAAAGCAGGCCTAATGTATTTAACTCCTGTGGAGATAAAGAGGAGGAACTACTGTAGCAGACTAGGTGAGATAACATCCCCTTAGGTTATTTTCTAAGTCTATAAAATCCCAATGCCAGACTTGACTAAGTTTCTAAGGGGAGAATTTTGAAGTGCTGAAGAAAAGGAAAGTGCTAATACAATAGCTGTGAACAGAGGATGTTCCGATGCAGCGTTAAATTTCATCAGATTGTGTGCTTGAAACAGAACCACCTTTAAATGGAAACAAGTATTTCTAAAGTTCCAAAAAAGCTCATTCATCTGCAACCATGCCATCTGCCCACTGACACCCACTGTAGCCATGGGTACTTTAAATCAGTGGCCTATTTTCACACTGCTTAGCATTCAGCATGCAAGTCCAGAACTTTTGTCCAAAGTCTTTAAATGAAGCAAGACTACACTTGGCTTTGCTGGCAAGAATTGTCGCCAAGTCCATTGGATGTCAACCCACACATGCAGGCCAAAACCTAATCAGGTAATTAGTTTCAGTTGAATATAGTGTTCCATGCCTCCTTTCAAACTGTTCTCATGTTATTCTGCACTGATGGCTGCATTTCAGTAGTAGATAAAACAACTGATCCCCACTAGTTTGTGTTTTATACAGAAAGGAGAGGAAAAAAAACACAGTTACAAGCCTACATCTTCTAGAAAACAACAGAGACGAGCTTTTCACAAGATGCCTTATGCCACATTTCTCAGGCATACTCTTCTACTCTTCTCTTGAAACACAAGGGATATTGCCTCTCCAGTCTCATTTCTCTGATCCTGGCATAGCTCAGGTCCAGAAGCACATCAGAAGCAGAGATGCACCCTTTCCCCCATACCTTTCTCTTTTCTTGGGATGATTTTACAGGTTTTTTCCAACCTTTATGTTCTGTGAAGCCCTGTCTTACCATACCCACCCTTTCTTATCATAAAAGGCAAGTTGAAAAGACACATTTCCCTTTTGTGTCAAGGACGGGGGTCAAGTAGAAATCTTATGTAGGAATTCAGGAAAGCAGAGAACTCAAAATCTACAATACAGAGAAATATTATAGTAACTTTCTAATTACTGAAATGGTTTTATGTAGACATGGAGAGCCATGCAACAGAGTAAGCAGGATTTGCTCAGTAAGTCTATGTTTATAACTAATAAAGTATTATTAATCAAAGCCGCTATTGTAAGGTTATAAACCAAACGCTGCAGTACATGTCAGCAAGTACTTCTACAGACAGGTAGGAACGCACCACTCATTTCTCTCATTGATCCTTATCAGACTTGAGCCTTAAAATATTTACATAATAGAATAATAATCTACCTTACACTAGCAGGTCAAATGTGCATTCTGTCAGATCGTGGAATTTCTAATCACAGGGTTGCCCTTTACTAGCCTGCAAATCACCCCTTTCTAAGCCCTGGCACACAAATCCCCTATTCAAGCAAGTAAGGGTGCAAACAAGGTCACCTGGTGCCAGCAACTTGCCAAGGACTCCATATATTTATGGTGCTCACATGCAAAGAGAAGAGAGACCTCAGTACTCCCAGAGAATCAGAACATTTTGGCAAACTCAATTTGAATGCAAAGCAACATGGTGAATGCTATCTGTCTGCACACAGAACGGGATGAGAAGAAACACAAAACGTACTGGAGAAGAATCTGGCTTTTGGCAAGAACAGGGCAGTTCTGCCCTACTTAGATGTAACAAAATGGAACAGCATGTGGCTGAGACGATGCAAGCAAGAACTGCCTCAAAAGTCCAATGCCTCCACAACTTGCACCAATGCCAGCCTGGGCCCCCCATTCCTGCTGCACTGGGGTTCCCATGGCAGAGCCAGTGGAGACTCCTGTGTGACAGTTTTCAACTTCTTCAAGCATTGTTGCCAGCTCCTGCCAGTTCCCCCACACGCCTTTTTTCTAGCACGTGAGCTGAGAATAACTTAACCTTAGACGAGATACTCAACAAGGCCTGGCTGCACTTACATTTCACATGGCAAGGATTTTCTCCTTGAGATAAGGAAATCAGCATCAAGTATGAGTTCATAAATTCATCAAACCCAGCATGATGGAGCTGAGCTATCAGGTACCCAGGAGTATAAAAAATCCTTCTTTTGGCCAAGGAGGCAAGAATGCCAAGATCCAGCTCTGTTATTTGCAGAGGTCAGGGCACTGTACTAGGAGGGGAAAACCCAGGATCACTGTCTGCCCTTAGCTGTATTTCTTCTTTGTATGCAATTACTGTGTAACATAAAATATCTACCAAGGCAGGCTCTCTCCTGCATATGACCTTCTGGCCCAATAACTCATGTATTCTTGAAATTAATCCAGCTCCAGAGCAAGACAGAAAGTAATGTAACCCCAAAAATAGCCTATAGTTTTGTGGTTAGGGAAGTTCTCTCTGAATTGGAGCATTAGATTTGATTTCAGAATTCAAGGGCATCTTTTTCGGAGAAGTCCCCCAATGCAGAAGTGGGTGCTATGGTCTGAAAGACAGGGCAGAACTTAACAGCAGTGCCCATCTGTGCTGAGTGACTGCTCTGATGTTTCCTCTGATTTTCAAAGTCATGACCAGTTTCTCAGCTGAAGATGCAGTTTCTGACTGGGAATTCCTGTTCTGTAGGTCAGCCTACTTCAGAGCTGCAGGTGGACAGAAAGAAAGAGGGATGTAACTGGAAGATCACTGTGATATTTTATGTTAGCTGCTCAGGAAATCAGTAGGTGTGACACTCATTTGTTTGCTTTAGAATTCACACCTACAAAGCACTCAGCATTATCAGTATTCCTGGAAACATCCAAGTCTCTGATACAGGTATGACACAATCATCGCTTCACCAGGCCCTTCTGGAGGGAATTCAGAAAAATAGTCACAGCCAATTTTTAATTATTTTTTTTTAAAGCCCAAAAACCTGCAAAACCTGTCTTGTCATGGAATTTGGGAGTCTACCTATTCAGCTTAGTCACAGTATGGATTCATGAGGAAAAAAATTTAGTACTATAAATCTATCCTACATGTATCAAAAGTACCGTAAGAGCCCATTACTGGGAAGATGATAAACAAGTTCAGAGATTCTTTTCGAAAATTTTGAATTTAGTTAATGGCTGAAGAGTTTCCCTTGGAAAAGCGATTCTCTTTAACTACCAGCAAAAGGCAGGTATTACAGACTAGATTAAATCAGGTCCATTTCCATAGTATGATGGAAATCAGATGGCCACATCTGACCACCTGCATCAATCTTTCCCAGGTTCCATCCTGCAAACTTCAGAGACACGACAGCTCTCCTTAGGGATCCCTCTTACCAAAAATTTTTCTAGTCCCAACCTATTTTCATATTTGATCTACTCAGATAAAGAATCAGTCATATGTATATAAATGTTGTACTTGGTTAGTTCTCACATTTAAGATGGGACACAAGAAGTGTTCCTTGAAGACAAGCCAGGCAATGGCTTTTCAAAGAATTAAAACTTGGCTTTAGCAACAGATATGGGAAGCCAGGAAATATCAGATTCTCTACCAGGAAGCCAAAAATGCTATTTATTTAATTTATTAATGGTTAGGCATGATTCTAATGGTACAATGTTCACATAAAGACCATAATAAACACTCATCAGCCATCCTTGTGCAAGGGAGGTATTTGGTGCTAATTTTTCTCTTTCAAGTATCCTTTGGAAACTATTTCTCCCATGTCTCAACAGTGTCAGCAACAACTGAACACTGTACTGCACCTCTTTTTGCAGAGACATGGGCGTCTTATTAAATCGTTCTATCATTAATAGATTCTCATTACTAAATTGCCAAGACTGAGGCCACAACAACAAAACATGAAGGAGGCAGGGGAGACCAAACTTAAAAAAACACAGAAAACACAGTACTGAAGCTAGGATGTGTTATTCAGATATTCAGATACAAAATCTCTGCATTCTGGCAGTAGAGTTACCATGTACTAGGGGTACCAAGAATCAGTCTCCAAAATCAATGCATGCAACACCAAAAGCAATAATTATTTTAAAAAGAATAATTAATACCATTAGAGGCAGAAATTTTTCCATTCTTGCCCTCTAAGAACCTTTTATAGTGATTTGAAAGAAAGCTATTTTCTTGCATCACAGACTAACAGTAGGTGGTAGAGGGAGCAAACATTTCTTTCAGAAGTAATAAATTCCTAGTTTGGCTGGCTTGGCTGGAGATTCTTCCTCCTCTCCATCCTTCCCTCTCCTGCCCACCAAGGAGATCCATTCTTCTCTCTCCCTTTCACCAACACCTATACACCAGCGAGCCAAGCATACCCACAGGGAACACCACGAAGCTTTGAAAGAACCGGGAAAGGTCTTCCTGCAGGCTAGACATCTCAGGAACCACATTCTACAGTGAGGCTCTTGCTTTGTTTTTGACAGGGGGAGATGGAGCTGCGTTTCAATGATCCCAGCCTATGTTCTTCAGGAGAGGACAACATTTCCCCCCTAATGTCAGAATTTAGAAGTTCTCCTTGTCAGGACAGTTCCTGAAGACACTAAATTTAAAATATTGAAAAATATACAAATCAACAAAACCAAAGTATGTAGAAAAATACAATGGTGGGAACAATCTATGCTAAGATAGAGCTAGTTGAAAGGATGTTGCATCATATTAATTTAGCTGTGACTATAGATTTTCTAGTTCCAGGAGCTGTGCAATGTGCTCTGGAATGACCCTGCTTGAGCAAGAAGGTTGGACCAGATGACACACTGTGGTTCCTTCTAACCTTACCCACACTCTGTGATTAAATCCATGATAAATACCAGTGCTTCCCCAAAGAGACACACACACACATATAATAGATGCAATTACTAAGGTAATCTCCCAACTAGAAGAAAATAGGGGAGAAAACTGCTACAAGGTTTGTTGGTTTGGATTTGGAGGAATTTAAGTGTAAATATTAGCCAGGTAATACAGTGAAGCAAGACACTGTCAACTTCATATTACCTTGTATTTACTAGTAGCAAAGATTTGATTCCACAACTGTGTCAGCCTTTTAACACAGGAAAAATAAGATAAAGAGAAGGAACAAAAGCTGCAAGGAATGTAAAAGCACTGTTATCCTATGGTAGCTCAGGAATGCAGCAATGCCATTTTTAGGGGAACAGGAACACACAGAACTCTGACTGAATACTAACAGGTAAATGGACAAAGGGTTTTTTTTTAATATCGTTATGATTAAAAGTCCTAAATTTCATTGCTATTTCAGCTTCAGGAACTTGTGGTTTTAGAACCAACCACAGACAAATGTCTGCCTGGTGAGCAATGTGAATTGTCCCAAGCAGAGTGAGATGTCCTACTCAGAAGTGTCTGGGTAGTCATCAGTACTGGCAGCATATGCAACATCAGGGAAAAAAGGAGGACTGGGAGGAGGGAAAAACCCACAAAATAAAACCAGATTTCTGTTAGCTGTCCATGAGGTTGATTTTCTTTCTCCCAACCTGGTTTTGAAGAATGCTACAGTCAGGGGGTGGAAGGAATAAATAAAACTCCTTGGATACAAGGAGAAGAGCTTTTTTGGAAAGCACCTATAACTCTGCTATGCATCTCAAAAATGTCTCTCAGCAAGAGGGAACTAAGTTCAAAAGATACTTGTTCTTCTTCTTAGTGTTGTTCAGCTTTTAAGCACGAGATAGAGAGCCCCAAATAGGCAAGTCAGTTCTGTTTGCACATGAACATTTTGTCCAGCAAGCAAAACCAGCCTACATTTAATTTTATTCCTCTGTGCAGAAGGCAGCTGGTACACTCCCATTTGGGAGCATTTCATTTAGGAGAAAACAGCAGATTCTGCCCTTGGGAAACTAAAAACTAAATCTGAAGGGAAGCGGTCACTTGAGCAAATGTCTTCATTTGTGACCATCCCTCAGCCTGTTGGAAAGGAGGACAGTCAACACAAGAATGGGGAAAGTTCAGCATTTAAATACAATAGCTCATTTCATTGCTTCCTCACTGGAGAATCGATACTACAAAAGACTATTTTGCAATGAGTAGTCTCCATTATATTTTTGTTGTTTGCATTACAACAGAACATAGAAATCTCAATCCAAGACCAGTGCCTGACTGAGCAAGACAACTTTAAATGTTTGTAGACTGACTCGGTGATCAACATATGGCAGGACCAGAACTGAGCTCAGAGGGGAAGTGAGTTACTGGAGGTCAGAAATTGACTGAGAATGAACCATTTCCAACATCTTTCAACTGCACGGCATGGCACCAATGCTCTTCTTTTTGCTAAGCAATATGGATTTGTTACCCTCTGGCAAGCTTTTCTTTAAAAAATTATACTTTTGTAAATGAAAATTGGTTCATATGAAAATTTCCAATATAGTTTCCCTGAGTTTTGATAGAACAGAGATGGAGTTAGGAGCTTTATGGCTTGTAGCTTCAAACAACACACTGCTTCTAGAACACACAGCTCATATGGCCCACAGTAAGAGAGAAGATCATTAATCTTCAATATATATTCATTACTGTCCTTACACCTCTCCAAAAAGAGGGCATTTGGATGAGTTCTATTCTAGAACAAAACTGAGATTTCTGAAGTGCTCAAAAGAATTTCCGCTTGCTTCTCTTAATGGTCAGAAAAATGCCATTACTTCTAAAAATCAATGGGTGGCCTGTAATCTTGCATATAATAAACACTAGGTTAATCAGCAGAGAAGTAACATTTAAATTTTCCAGATTTTCTGGTAGATTCAGATAGTTGTATTCTTTCAGACTCTCGATTCAAGATGCTGTCCTCAGTCAACACATTATGACTGAAATGGTCATGTTCCTGTTTGAAAAATCTAAAATGTTATTGATGGTCTAGTATTCATATTATGAACTTCTGTAAGCCAATATCCTATTTATAGAGCTGAAAAACACAGATGGTTCAAATAAGAATTGCTCTTATCACAATATCCCGCAGGCTAGTCTTTCTATTAGGCAGTAGGAAAATCCCCATACACACAAAATTTCAGCTATGTATCCCCACTATTTTCCAATATGTCCCTTGTAAGAGCTGTTCCAGCTGTATTTTCATAAAGTTGTCCTAAAAATTGCATATATTTATTCCTTTGAACATTTTTCATTTAGATTTACCTCTGCTTAAATTTACCTGCCAAAGCATCAGTCCTCCTGACTAAAACTCACAGCAGTTCTGGGGACAGAGTGCAGAAGACCTATGCTAATGAGCAAATAACACAAGAATTGACCCCATTCAGCCTGTTAGCTGCAACCAGCTCTACACCATGCAAAAATGTAACGAAGTGCCTTACCAGAATTATTCACAGCAAAGCACTTTTTTCTCCTCAGTGAGGATAAATCTAGGAAATTCTCTCATCCTTTTTTCCTTTGGTTAACAAGACGCACATACAACACCTCCTCACAATAAATTTTTTTTCCTCTGCCAAATTTCAAACAGGTTGGACAGCAAGGCAGGTTTGAAACTCCTAGGGTACACAGGGAGGTATGAAAAATATTTCAGGGAAGGGGACAAGGGGAAACAAGTCAATTATATCACAGTATAGAATCACAGGATGTGTGAGCAGTAAAGAGGATGTTTAGGGTTACTGTGATGGACTGGCACATTTTGCACACCCATAGACAATCAGAGTTCATGAGCTCTAATGTTCACATGCAATACAAGACACCTTGAAACAATGGTGGGTCAACTCAAAGTTTTTAATACAGTCTCTTGCCCCAGGTGTAAGCTGGTCCAAAAGCTAAAAACTTATTTGTGCTGCACCATGTATCAATGGAAGCCAGGCAGTAACAAATCACTGCTGCACTCTGTGCATGGTATTAACCTTGGATTGATCCTGTAATGTTTTTGTTCATAAACTTACTTGGAGAATTACAAGATGTTTTATTCTTTCCCTAAGAATGAGGTTTCTGCTTGGCTCACTTTTGCAGTTACTTTTTCTGGATTAACTAATGGCCCATCAGAATCCCTGTTTAATTACTTTTGTTTCAAATGTTCGACTCAGCTGTGGGCTTTGGTCTGAAAGGAAGCCTGTTCACTCAAGCTCTTGTATGAAAAAATTCATGTATGCAACTGAAATGCAATTCAAACCTGTGAGGGCTGAAAAGTGCAGTAAATGCATGCCCTGATGGATTTTTTTCTGTGTTTCTGCAAGCCTATAAACAAAGATGACATTTGGAGTTCAAAACCTTCAGAGTTACATGGCTTCCTGGATACTCTTGTACATGCATC